CTTGTAGTAAATGTTGGCTGGGCTCTGGGGGGGCATCTCCTGGACAATGTAGACGGGGTGCCCGTAGTCCCCGCTCACCTTCTCGTAGTGCGGGCAGTAGTTGTTCTCTGTAGTCCGTAAGGGGATGATGATGTCGCTGGGCTCCGAGCCCGCGTTCCCGCTGCATTTCGGGCTGGCCAAGGTGCTGAGGGACAAGGCTGCGGCTCGCTGCTGCGTGTGCTTCCGGTGCCGCTTGCGGATCTTGATCAGGAGGACAACGAGGAAGATGATGATGAGGATGAAGATGACGCAGCCGGCACCGATCGCCGCGAAGACGGCCACCTTGGAGCTCAAGAAGCCATCGCTGGGACCTTGGGTCTCTTGGCCGTCCTGGTTGACAGAGCCTGCAAGGCAAGGGAGAGGGGTGTTAGGCCCTGGCAGGCAGCCTCACTCCCCCTGCGCGGCTGGTTCCGTGCTCCCTCCGCACACGGATTGCGCCCTGCGGGGTGGGAGAGCCCCTCGCCATAGCTGGCCCTGGGCAGAGCAGGCAGGAACCCCGGGGCATCTGCGGAGGAGGGACCACACGCCCGCTCTCCCACCCCGCATCGCTGCCCTCCCTTTCCGTCTCCCGGCCAACGGAGCAGAGCACTACTCGGTCTGGGTGACAACCAGTCCAAACCCCGGGAGCCTTCGCTCTCCACAGCAGACCTGGACACTCTGGTGAAAGTGGGCTCCGATACCTGGAGCTCCGTGATATCCGATTACTGACCCCCCACCTCCTCCTGACCCTGGGCTGGGGCAGCCCCAGCTCCCCGAGGGGAGAGCGACTGGCTGGCTGAACCGGGCGAGAAGAAAAGAGCAACTCTTCCCCACTTCATCTGATTTCACTTTTCTCTCAGCAGGGTCAGGAACTCAGGAAACCACCTTCAAAGGGCTTTCACACTGGCTCAGCTCAAAAACCCAAGGACCTCACCTCCTCCAAGCCCTCTCAGATGTACTGCGAGGAACAGATGGGCAGCGAGGAGGAGGAGGAGGAGAGTGCTGAAACAGCACTTCCCTGCAAAGCTCCTGCCAGGACATACCGGAGCTGGGAAAACAAACCCGAGCTGCTCCGCACCGCAGCAGCGCCTGGCTGCCTGCACCGGGCCCTGAGCGGTCTGGGCCAGAAGGAGCAGGGCTGAGGCGAGGAGATGCTGTGAGCAGCCGGGACGGCAGAGATGGGCACAACGCTTACGGGAAACCCATCTGCATCCCTGCTCTGGAGCACCCAGGGTCCCAGGATCCGTGCAACAAGCCCGGCTCGGAGCTGCTCTGCCTGCAAGGCTCTGGCCCCGCGGGCAGGCAGAGCCCCCACCCCTCTCCTGGGGTGTCCCTGGCAAAACCCACCCGGCTTGCCGGGCTCCTCCACCGCTGGGATCTTGCTGCGTGGGCTCTGCGTGACGATTTTCACGGTGTTGTCGGACTCCTTGCTCGGCCGACTCGTCGTCAGCTGCTCTGGAATCACCGCGTTCGGATCTGGGGAGGAGAGGGAAGGGGTG